GGTACAAAGGGCGAGAAGAAGGAACACCACCTCCCAGGAGACCCTGGACTCCCTCCTCGAAGAGAACCGGGTCAGGAGACTGGCACTGAAGGTGTCAATCAAGAACGCCAAAGAAAGGGCTTGGTCGGAATTATTGGACACCTTGGAGGAGGACCCGTGGGGGCGCCCCTATAAGATAGTCTTGAACAGACTGAGGGGGGGCATCCCCCCGACAACCGAGGCCCTAGACGCGGCCTTCTTGGAGGAGGTGGTGTACGCCCTCTTCCCGAGGAGGGATGACGGCGAACCTCGGAGGCACGATGACCCAGGAGAGGTGCCTGGGGAAGACTGGCACCAGGAATGGGAAGTCACAGACCTCGAGCTCTCCAAGGCGGCAAAGAAAGTCAAGGCAGGCAAGGCACCGGGACCGGACGGCGTGCCGGCGACGGCCTGGAAAGTAGCTCTGGGGGAGCTCTCCGGAAGGTTGGGCGGCCTGATGACCGCCTGCCTGAAGGAGGGCGTCTTCCCGGAGCTATGGAAGGAGGCAAAACTAGTCCTCCTTCCAAAAGAAGGAAAAGCAGCGGAACTTCCGTCTAGTTACCGCCCGATATGCCTCCTGGACGAGGCCGGGAAGATGTTTTAAAGAGTTATAACATCCCGCCTCGTCCGGAGCATAGAGGGCGGCGGGGAGGGTGGCCTGCACCCGCGGCAATTCGGCTTCCGCGAAGGAAGATCGACCGTGGATGCGATTAAGTGCGTCCAGGCCCACTCCGACAGAGTGGCGGAGGAGGAGGGAGTGACGCTAGCGGTAGCGCTAGACATCAAGAACGCGTTCAACTCCCTCCCCCATTGGACCATAAGGAGGGCGCTGGCCGAGATGAATGTCCCGGCCTACATCAAACGAATCATTGACAGCTATTTGGAGGGCAGGAGCATCGTGTGCGATGATAGAGAGGGAACCACCCGAAGATGGGGAGCGGAGTGCGGCGTCCCGCAGGGATCGGTGCTCGGCCCGGTCCTGTGGGACGTCGCATATAACTGCGTACTAGAAACGGCCCTACCCCCCGGCAGCACCATGGTCTGCTACGCGGACGATACCTTGGTGCTGGCCGGGGGAGAGGATTGGAAGGAAGCGACGACAACTGCGAACATTGCAGTAGCGTGCGCGGTGCGCGCGATCAACGCGTTGGGTCTCAAGGTGGCGGCCATTAAAACAGAGGCGGTGTTTCTGCATGATGGCACGCATGGCTCGCCACCTGAGACCCACATAGAGGTAGATGGAACGCGGATAAAGGTGGGGGCTCAGATAAAATATCTGGGCCTCCACATAGACGGAAGGTAGTCCTTTGAGAGCCACGTGAACAGCCTGGCGCCCAGGTTGGGTGCGGCGGCAAACGCCATGTCGCGTCTGATGCCCAACCTGGGAGGCCCCTGCGGCCGTGTAAGACGGCTCTATGCCAACGTTGCCCACTCGATCGGACTTTATGGAGCGCCGGTATGGGCAGAGGCAATAAGTGGCAACAGGAGAGCGCTTGCGGCGCTGAGGACACAACGCCAGATGGCAGTGAGAGTAGTGCGGGCATACCGCACTGTGTCCCATGCGGCGGCGACTCTACTGGCTGGGATGCCCCCGGTCGACCTATTGGCTGGGGCGTACTCCCGGTCCTATGAGCGGATAGCGGACCTGAAGAAAAGAGGACTCCCAGTAACGGGCAGAACTAGAAGGCTCATCAACAGCCAAGAACGGGAGACGGCTGTGAAGAAATGGAGAGACAGACTGCGGGAGCCTGACTGTGCGGGACAACGGACAGTGCAGGCGATACTCCCACATATGGCAACCTGGCTAAACAGGACGTGGGCGAGATCGTCCTACCGGACGACGCAGGTACTCACCGGACATGGATGTTTCGGTGAGTACCTGCACAGAATTCAGAGGGAGGACACAAAGGGGTGTCACCACTGTCAGGAGGCAGTGGACGACGCCCAACACACATTGGAGTTCTGCCCGGCGTGGGAGGGACAGCGACAGGCCCTCAAAGATCGCATAGGCCCGGACCTCACGCTGGGAACTATCGTGGGACGGATCACCCAGTGTGAAGAGGCATGGGAGGCGTTCTCCCTCTTTTGCGAGAAGGTAATGAGGGAGAAGGAAGAAAGCGAAAGGGTGAGAAGGGGAGAAACAAACGACCCCCCGAACACCCAAGGTGGAGGGCGTGCTAATAGAAGGCGAAGGGCGCGCGGCACGCTGGCCCACCTACGGGCATGGTAACCAGGGGGAGGGGACGTACGCGGTGGACCGTTATGGCTAGCCGCGTGCCCCCCCTCCCCCCTGAGCGGTCACAACAACGAGAGGAAGCG